AATCTCTTTATCCTCTGTAACATGCCCCCTTGGGGACCAGAAGGAAAACAGAAAGTGGGGCCAAGGCCTATGGGCTCTGTTGAAAAAAAATTAGATGCATTTCCCAATGCATCTAAAAGTTCTAGCTATGAACATAATGAAATCTGATATATTGAATTTGGTGTTCCTTAACAACACTTCCTCTGCTGTACTCAGGTTCTTAACTGCTAAGAGGCCAGCAGGGCAGTTATGCCTCTTTATTAGCCATATGATCTTGAGTAAGTAACCCAAAGTACATTTTCCCCTTTGTAAAGTAAGGCACATGTTCTGAAGACAATGAGTAAATGAATAGACACCTGCTCAGCAACCAGGCAAGGTCTTGGGGAAACTACACACAACTATCAGTTAACCCTCCTACCTTCCTGGGAGGCTAGTTCCTGGCATTTTCATCTGCATTTTGTAATTTCTGAGGCCCAACTCTATTAGTGCTGCCTCAAGTGGCAGCACTGCAAGTCAGGGTCCTGTGTCCCCATTGCATTGTCCATCTAGTGCAGCTGGCCTCATCTTGTTGGAGGCACAACAACCAAAACTTCTTTGTGTGTGCTGGTACTGGGATTTGAACCCAGGGCCTCACATTCCCGTTCAGCTTTTCATTCTACTACTTGATCCGTGCCTTCAGCCTGGTATTTTGCGAGTAAATTGGAGATATAGTCTTTCTGCTCAGGCTAGCTTTTTTCCCTTCTTTTTCTTTCTTTCTTTTTTTAATTTTAGAAGTAGGAGTACAGAAAAGCCAAAAAGCAAGACTTGATGAACACACATACATATATACATACACATACACACACTATGAGGGGAATATGAAAACAAGCAGCCATTGAAACTGGAAACAAGCTACTCAGGACTCAAGAAATGGTCATCCTGTAAATAAGGCATTGTAAACATCTATGTCTGCGAACTGTGACCATCTCCCATTCTTTGTGGGTGCTGTGCTTAACTTTTCTGAGCAAAACCTAATTTTTCCTTACTGTGTTCATCTACTTAAACCAAATCTACAATTGATCAAAAAGATTGTTTTCTCTTTTTTTTTTTCCAGGCTACTGTTATTTTAACAAAACATTGAGCTCTTAATACAAATCAAGTAACATGAAAGTGAAAAAGACAAGGTGTGAGGAGAGACCAGTAAGAAACAAATGAAATTGTGCTTCTCACTATGTATGTCACAGACCACACTGTACTACTTACCCATCCATCGCTCCCCACTGGGCAGTGAGACCAGATTAGCTTTGAACTGAGATCTTCAGCTCTCAGCCCCTTGAGCAGCTAGGGTTACAGGCATGAGTCATCAGCACCCATTGTAATAAGATGCATATATGCATATTATTTTTGCACTAAACTTGTTTTAAATTCAACTCTGATAAATAGCTTTTACATGTCTGCTTTTTTTTTCCCTTTTTGGTCATCAAATTCTTTAATTACACATGTTCTTTGCAGAAAAAAAAGTGAAAACAAATGGAAGCAGGTACATATTACCCATCGACCACCACTTAGCAATCATGATTATTAACATTGTTTTCTAAACCTATGTCTTCATAACAAATACTGGATTTTATGGCTTATTCTGTTCCAGTAATTTTCTTCTACAATATTTCATGAATATTAAATTAAAAAAAATATATGATGGACTTCACCCTTGAAAATGGGAAAGAGAAAATAGGAGCTGTAATTTCAATTATCTGAAATGGGTTCTGTGGTACTACCTAAGCAAGAAACTTCACACCTATGGATGATAAGGAAGGGTAGCAAGGTAGTGAAATAGCTTTGGGCTGTCATTCGCCAGGATTTAGGATAGGCATTTACTAGTAGGGAAGCTAGCAAAACCAGGCAAGTCCATAAAATTCTGTCCAGAAAGGTTTCTGTTTCTTGTAATGTCTCCAGGGCACCTTGGGTGAATACTGATGTAAGGCCATATGAATGTTGTGCCGTTTATGACACAGGTATACTTGAGAAGGAGCTAAGTCTACCAGGGGAAGCAAAATGGATGACATAATTATGGACTATGGACTCCAGCCACACTTGACTCCTTTCTCTCTCAATCGAAAGCCAAACTCAGGCTTTGCAGTTGCTAGTTTCCATACTAAAATACTGTCCCCACTCCCACTCCCAGATTTTCTAAGTCACCTGAAGTGTTACTTCCCTTTGGATCTTCCTGTCATCCTATTTGAGGTAGCTATATGAGGTCATGCTATAAGATTATCTTATTGGGTTGCTTGTGCATTGCTGGTTTATGTCACTGTGGAGCCTCTTGGAGCAGAGTATTTTGGTATCATCCACCAAGCACCATAATACATGTGTAATATGCATCTACTAATACAAAATGGACAGCAATTAAACTTTATTATTGAATTATTTTTCAAAGACATCCATATTTGACTAATGTGAAATGCCAGGTGAGATATAGCCATCTTATATGTAAGAATAAACATAACCATAGTCATAAATAGGATATAGCATCAGTGATTAAGAAAACACTAAACTTCAAGGCCTTACCTAGTTGCTTGGTTTGTGTATAGTGATCATCTTGTCTTGGTTGAAACTAGTTTTGTCACTTAACAGATCACTAGTGGAAGAGCAAAAAGGTTTCCAATGCTAAAGATGTGGCAGATGTACACCTTTATTGAAATATGTGTTTATTTTAATACACATCACAAAAATATGACGGAAACCAGGAAGAATACTTGTATTTTAGAAATAACATTCTTTCTGAGGGAGTAAAACATCCACCTTTGATAACACATATAACAGCAATCTGACCCTGTGTTTTTATTGTTACCTTTGTGTGTATCACTGTTTTGGTTGTAGCCCATGCTTTACATAGTTACAGGAGCTGCTGGGCTGACCAAGCTAACGCTATACATGGGTGCTCCTCTCTGGAATAGCACTTGTCATTGTAGTGAAAGGGGGTATCTGCTCTATTAACTGTTTGTTTTTACCTCCTAATTTTGAGTCATCTGAATTTTAAGCTACAATAAAAATAAAAGAAAGCGCAACTTTACCAATTGTACTAAGGTTTGAGAGGCAGGTGGAAATAGGATTTCTAGGTTTAAGGTGTTAGATGTGATGCTACCCAGAGACAAAGTAAAGGGGTTAAACAAAAGTTGGGATCAGGTCCTTAATGGACTAAGAATTGGCTTTTTAACTTCCAACAACTTCTTTACCTTAAGAGGATGTGAGTTGGTTCCAATTCAGTTCACTAGGTAATTGGTTGAAAGTTAGTGTTGTGATTTCTGCCATAATGAACAGGACTGTCTTCAAGATTTTAGTGGGTTGCAGGGTAAAGAACTATGGGTAGCATATAAATGTATGCTCTGTTGCAAGTTGTTTCCTAGACTTTCTTATGTTGTGTTGTGTTTTGTTTTGTTAGGATAGAACCCAGGGCCTTGGGCATACTAGCCAAGCTCTCCATCTCTGAGCATTATTCCCACCTCTATTGTCTTTTCCCTAACTTAATTGCAAAGCCCTCGGCCATTCCCCTTGGCATTTGTCAAAGTTGTCTGCACACAAGCCCTAATACTGTTTATGAACCAATTGGTGACATTCCTTCTCACCCCACACTTTAAACCTCACCTCAGAGTTTCACAGCAGCCTTGGCACCTTATTGAACCTGCACACAGGGTCCTGCCAACCCTGATTCTGCACTAGTTTTCCTAATGAGGGCATTATTTGCTTTTTAGCCTGCCCTCTTGTTTATAAAATATGCCAAGAGAACTAAACGCCCTGCTGTTCCCAGTACTTATTTACTTGCCCAAACCAAATGTTTATGTCCTTGAATACTAAACTTGTAGGAAAAGGATTCCTCTTCGTGGGAAAGCTACAATCTCTTGAGTTCTTTCTAAACTATCACTGGAGGTCTGGTTTTGTTTTGTTTTTCTTCAGAAACATTCAACTGATCAGTGACTTTAGGAACTGTGCAGACCACCCTCCTGTACCCTGAGTGTATATACACACAGGGAGGCAGATCCTCTTTCTATAATTGCCTTTCCAAGATGCCTCTCAGCATGGGTGAACGTGGCTTGGTTCAAAACCATAGCAGAATAAAGAATATAAGCTGGGGATTAAAGATGGAAAAGGAGAGGGAGGGGAAAAAGCAGTTTGCCCAAATACTCTCAAGGTTTGGTCACTTGTACCTCAGCACCAGTGTCCAGCTTTGCCATCTTACTAGTGAGCCAGGTTGGTGGGACAGTTTCAGCACCAGATTCAGAATTACCTGGAAAGATTCCAGATCACAGGCTGACAATCCCTCCGGTGATTTAGAGCCTGGCATTCGAGTTTTCTGGGCCAGGTGAGTCTGATTGAACCAAGTTCCGGGGATTGCCCAGCATGGCCCTGATTGATTACATGTTATTCCTCTTTGGTGGGGTTTCCCTATGTACATCTGATTTGAATCACATTATCTTCTGGCAAGTTTTGTGCTGACTACACACTTGCCACCTTTCCTTGTTTCTTTTTCCACAGAGGAGAAACATTTCCTTGTTACCTTTGCCAGATTACTTAGGAGAAGAGTGTAAATTGAAGCCATTTATCTTGAAATGTGCTGCAGGGGCACATTGTTTATACAAGTGAAAAAAATTTTAACAGTTATTTGGTCTGGTCTGCAAGGAGAAGGTGGCTCAAGTTTTTCTGCCTCTCCCCCTTTAGACACAGGGTATATTAGAATGTGCACAAGGTACACATCTTGTGTGTGTGTGTCTCTGTGCACACACACACACATGCATATGACAGGCCAAATAGCTAATGCACTTGAGTGTTTTTATTTTCACATGTTTATCACTTGCAAAATTAATTTTGTCATTAATGGTGAGATGGATGTTTCTCTAACATCATGCTTTATGACTAGTTCATTCATTGCATATGACCCTACGTCAGTGACTGAGATAACAGACAGAACTTCACTTTGGAGTGATTTTTTTTTTTTTTGTGGGGGGTGGCTGGTCTAATTGAAGAAACTTTTTCCTATTTGTTAGTTGGTGGACGAGTAAGTCGTGAATTAAATTATACTCGCCAGAAGATTGGAGAAGAGGCTATGTTCAATCCTCAACTCATGATACAGACCCCAAAAGAAGAAGGTGCTAATGTCCTGACCACAGAAGCCCTCCTACAACACCTGGACTCAGCACTCCAGGCCAGCCGAGTCCACGTATATATGTACAACAGGTAAGTCCTTTCTCCACCTGCACAGGTGAAGCAAGTTAAGTGCAGGGAGAAGGCTGTTGGATAAGGTTCCTTTACAGGTAAGGACAGAGCCAGGGCAAGTTGAATATCTCTTATCAAAATGCTTGGGAATAGAAGTGTTTCAGATAATTTTTGGCTTTTGTAGTTTTAGCAATACATATAATAAGATGTATTGGGGACTAGATTCAGATTTGAACACAAATACATTTGTTTCAAGGACACCTTATGAAGTGTTTTTAATAATGAGAGTATTTTGCATCATGTTGATGCCCAAAGAGTATTATTAGCACATTGAAGATTTTAAATTTGCCGATTAGTGACTTGAAACTTCAATATCTTGACACTCTTTCCAGGTGAGTAAGATTCAGATATACTTGGGTGGCTACATGAGTTATAAGATATTTCAGTGCTTGAGATTTGATTCAAATTAAGCATTTTGTTAACGTGGGAAATTATCTCTGTTGCTTAAGCTGTTTTTGGACAAGTTACGTTTTGAATTTCTTTTAGTCAACATAAATCAATGCAGAAAAAAAAACGCAAGTAAAACAAAGGAAGATGTTAATTCTCTTTGTGTCCACAGTTGATTTGAGTTACAAAGCAAATAGGTAATGGGTTGAGCCCTTCTAGGAATTCTTACTAACAGGTTGAATCAAGGGAATTTATGCATACCTTTTCTTTTAAAAAGTTAGATTTTAGCATGATGACTCCTTAAACGGTATTGTGTGTAAAGATCAGAAAAGAGTTCTAGAACAAAACTAACAGTCTTTTTTGGTATCTGAACTGTCAGTCACTTCAGGACAGCAACAACACATCTGATCAGTGGTCATAGCATGAGTGTTCAAAGTTTGCTGGGTGACTGGCTGCAGATTGCCATCGCTGAACTCCATTTCTACAGTGTTCTTCCTCTAGCCCTAGCTGCTGACCTTTCTTGGCATGTCTTAATTGAAGGGTTGAGGAAATGGCAGCATAGGCACATTTTAAAAACCAGGAAGAATCCGAAAAGAGAATGAGATTAAGATTTGTGCTTGTCCTTGCACTACCTTCCACTCCCTATGGATTGACCTGGATTGGCTGTGGGAGCCATTCTAGCTTGAGACTGGATGCTGGGTACCACTGTCACTTGCACAGGTCATTACTAAACAAGTAGGCTGATGATGACATGGGCTCTCTTATCTAGTGGTTTACTGAACAAGATAAGGTATGTGTGTGAAAGGGCTTTAAAAATGCAAAGGGGTATTTCAGCATTCTGTCTAGCTAGCCTGCCCAGCAAGTGCAATTTGGCAAAATTTGCAAGTGAAGGCCCTGTGAAGATCTTGGAAATGGTGGTCTGAGTCACTACACATGCCTTGCACACATGTGCCTAATATGCTAGACTCCGGCTCTGAGGGACCTGGTCATTCATTTACATGCTTCAGGACAAGATTCAAAGCTCTGGAAAATGAATTCTTAGCTAAGAGATTTTATGCATTGGAATGAACTTTCTTCTTTTCCTTTGATATAACTGGAGTTTGAACTGGGGGCCTTGTGATTGATAAATTGGCACAATATTATGGAGCCATACTTCTGTTTTTTCCCTGGTTGTTTTTAGGATGGGGTCTTGTTGCCTTTCCAGGCATACACCTGAGCCTCTGTCTGCCTACTTTTAGAGTTCCTATCATTGCTAGGATTGAGGCAGGCGCTAAATTATCCAGCCTCCCTTCATGGAGGCAGTCTTGTGAAATTTTCTGCCCAGGCCAGCCTGATAACCTGATTCTCTTAGTCAGTCTAGTACATAGTTTGGGGTGACAGGTGTGTACCACTGCACCTAACTACGGGGTTGAGAAGGTGACTCGCTAATTTTTCTGCCCAGTTTGGCCTGGAACTGTGACCAGCCCATTTTCAACTGGGTTTGCAGGCATGAGTCACCTGTGCTTGGCAGCACTGGAATGGACTTTATCAAACATATACCTAGTTCCGTCTATACATTTTCTAGTTAAAAAAGTGATTATTCATCCAGGTTTATATGATTTTTAGACCTTTTCTTCTGGCTCCAAGACAAGTGATTGTAACCCTTCTCAAACAAGCATTAAATAATAGTTGATCAAGAAATAGGAACTGAGAACCTCCTATGTTGCTTACTCTATGTTGATGTACAGAATTAAAATTCATATCTTTGTGTGCGCACACACATATACATGAGCAGGTAGATGGGAAGGCAAAAGGGTTAGCTCTTGGAGAGAAAAATGACATTTATATGTACTCATTACCTTACTCGTGTAACTGTAACCCCTCTGTACCGTATCATTACAATAAAAAATTTTTTAAATGACATTTATATAGATAGGCATGACACCAGCCAAACATGGGCAATCTTGCCATATAGGTTCCAGGTGTCAAACAAAATTTCAGCTTTCTCTAGAGAAAGCGGTCATTTTCATGAGTTGAAGGTGATATTTCAAAAGGGCACTGAGAGCCAGATGGGAGATTTCTGAAAGGGGGTCCAGGGAAAAGGGCAAAGTCAATTCCTTTAGATGACATCAGGCCTCTCATAGGAGACCAGTAAAATAGGGGAGATTGGAGAGAATCTTTCATCCTGTCTTCACACCTTCTAAGTCATTTTCCTCTTATTTTTCAAATTGGGCATTATTTACCCAATACATTCAGAAATGCATGGGTATATATACCATTCTTTTAAACATAGTAAACCTTTGAATTAATCCTTGGTCAATGTGTTTATTAATGTTTTTCTGTAAACAAGACTGGCAGAGAGGATAAGTATACCCTATCTGGCAGGTGTTTGTAACATTCAGGGTTAAAAGTAGGAAAAAGTTTGTTTTAAATACTACCTATGAGAACTTTATCTGCCAATAAAAAGAACAGTAAAAACCCCTCCCCCTGAATTTATATCAATACATTATTATAATCCTCACTAATTTAGTTCCTACTTATTTTGAATTTGATAATTCAGCTGGGCTGCCTGAAGTTGTTTAATGTATGTAGAAAAGCAGATTAATGGTGTAAACAAGATTATTGGGAGAACACTTAAGAAAACAAGACTTTTCAAGTACTTTGGTAGCATTCATTTACATAAACACCCAACATGTTAATTACAATTGAGTATTATCTATTCATTAAAGCAAGCTTGCTGGGTCTGTACTTGGCACATGCTCTGCTCGTTTTGACAGATGCTTAAAAGTGATCGAAATTGCTATTCTTTTCATATGTTCTCTTGTTCTGATTTTGCACTAATTTCCTTTATTATTAAGAAAAATCTTGCCTCTGCTTTTCATTCCAATAGGCAATGGAAATTGGAACATTTGTGCTACAAATCAGGAGAACTTATCACGGAAACAGGTTACATGGATCAGGTATATTTTCTTGTTTGTAAAAAAGGTCTCAAATTCTCAAAAACAGCCAAGAAATATGTTGTCAGCCTAATGTATGGTCTGTTTTTTTTTTTTTTCTCACTTTGACAGATAATAGAATATCTTTACCCTTGTTTAATTATTACACCTTTGGACTGCTTCTGGGAAGGGGCAAAATTACAGTCTGGGACAGCATACCTCCTGTAAGTATAAAGATACAATTGTGTCTTCTCATTTCTAAACTCTAGGACTCTGTTTCTGATGTTGCTTATCATTGTTTATTCTCTTCAGTTTTGGACAAGAAATAAAACGATTGAAATTCCAAGTGCATTTTTTTGAATGAATAGTGGGGAGAAGAGGGGATTTCAGCAGAATGTTTCTCCTCTTTTCAAAAAAAGTTCTGTAGGCATCATTAAATTTCATTCACTTTTACCAGTCTATTTATATGCAAATAAAATGCAAATTATTGCAGAGTATGTGCGATTTTTTTTTAACTCTTTATAAAATGTTTGCAGTTATGCAGACCAGGCACTAAGACGTTCAACTTTTTTTTTTTAAAGAGGAGTATTGTTGGGTACATGGCAAAGTTTAAATATTTAAAGTTAAGTTTTGAGATCTTCCTGGGAAATAAAGTATTAACCCTTCTTCAGATCACATTAATGACATTTAAAGGAGAAATGCACTATCTTTGAAGGTCATGGTAGAGGATGCTTCCTAGTCTAGCAGTTGCATATTATACATACCGCATCATTTAAACAATGATCGTTAATCAGGGTAGACATTTTCAGTTAATTATGCAAGAGTGAGTGCTTGGGTTATTGTTTCCATCCTGGCTTGCACATATCTGCAAAAGCAATTTGCAGTGGCCATCCCCTGACCCTCAGTGTACAGTTTTAGATGGGAAATAAGGGGTTTTGTGTTTTCTGGTTGGGAGATTCTGAATAATGACTTCAGCCTGGTTAAGCAGCTACAGTGTGGTTTGAACCACATAACAGGCAGCCAAAAGCCTTTCTGGTCTGTCAACAGCACAAATTCAAAAGTGAGTGTGGGGGGAAGTGGCTGTGATGGTGGTGATGGCAGAGGCCACGGGGGCTCTCCCGCCTTACTGCCAGGCCGTCGGAGAGAGCTCATAAGTATGGAACTGTTCAAGGTAACAGAGATCAAATGTTTTGATTGATGGCATTTACAAAGCATTTATTAGGCAGACAAGTGCTAATTTGACATTGTGATTCTATTTTAAAAATAAAATTAGATCTCAGTAGTCTGCTTAGAAGTACCCATTGGCTGTTTTTTTTTTCCTTTTTTAAGATAATGAACGTAATATTCTGGTAATTAAGATTTTCTGATGCTTTTGTTCACTTGGAAGACCTCTGCTTTCCAGCTTCAGTTATGAATTATTTTCCTGACCTGAGTTTTCCTGCAGCTATACTGGAAAGAAGTGTTCATTTAATTTATATCAAATAGAGTCTCCACATTGCAGCATTATTACCAAAAGCTTATTAAGATACACAGATGTAAAGCATGCAGACATGTTATTTTCCTGTCCTATGGTTCAGGGAGCTGCTTTTTTTTTCAGTCTCACCCCCTGATTTCTTTCACAGAGGTAAACCTCCTTTGCGGTGGACCAACTTTGACCCTTTGGAATTCCTAGAAGAGTTAAAGAAAATAAACTATCAAGTGGACAGTTGGGAGGAAATGCTGAATAAGGCTGAAGTTGGCCATGGGTATATGGACCGTCCCTGCCTCAATCCAGCCGATCCCGATTGCCCCGCCACAGCCCCTAACAAAAATTCAACCAGAGTGAGTTTGCTCAGTGATTGTTCTTACAAGGGGCAGAGAAAAGCTGCTTTTGTTTCCATTTATAGTTCTCTTGATTATTTTCATTTTAAAGATTTTTTTTCCTTTTTTTTTTTTTTGCCTATAGGTCTAAGTGTGTTTGTAGAGCTAAATTTTGCTGTAAGATTTGCCATACGCCTCTCATTAGTCTTGTTATTAATGTTCTCTCTGAAACAAACAAGCCCTTAAATGCACTGGATTTTAACAAGGCATGTGACCTGCCTACTAATTCCCGTAATTATGTGGCTGTCTTTTTATTTTAGCCTCTTGATATGGCCCTTGTTTTGAATGGTGGATGTCATGGATTATCCAAAAAGTATATGCACTGGCAGGAGGAGCTGATTGTGGGTGGTACAGTCAAGAACAGCACTGGACAGCTTGTCAGGTAATCTAACACACAGAGTAAAACCCGAGCCATCCATTTTTTTCCTCCTTTCCTGAAAACCACTTCCCCTCTGACATCTGTAAGTCTATTTGTATTCATACTTCACTGTTACCCCAGCTAGCTGTCCAGTGAAATTGAATATTAGGAAATATTAGCAAACCAGACCAGCTTGAAAAAGGTAACTTGTGGGGAATTTTTTTCTAGGATAGATTTGTAGTTTTCATCAAAACTATAGTTGTTGACTTTAAGGGTTTTAGATCTGCCTGTGATGTAGAGGCAAGTATCAAGCAGGCCGGAAACCCCAGTCCTGGTGTATAGAGTTGAATAATGTGAGCTGAGTAATGTCACATACTGTTAAAAGGAAAAGACTAAGAAATAAAGGCTAAATAAGAATTATCCATTATCCTTTGTGTACTCACAGACCGTAGTCAGCCAAGTGTCAGGTGTTTCGTCTGAGGTTTCTCCCTTGGGAAAGCCAATGTCTGAGATTTCTGCATGGCTAGTGTACGTGGCTGAGCCCAGTGTATCTGGTCAAGCTATCTACTCCTCTCCCCTTCCTGTTTTATGGAATAGAAACTGAAAAAGGAAATTGCCTATTAATTTAATTTTGGGGTCTATCTGTAAAAGGTTGGTAAGGTTACACCTTTAATATGGAACATCAATCTATTTAATAAAATAACCATCCTGGTCCTGTTTGAATGGAAACATGTGCTCACGTAAGAAAGAAAGGACTCCACCAGAGTTGGGGAGGGGCTCAGTTGGGATTTTCACACAGTGGAAACTGCTTCTGGAGAATGTTGACATGCCTACCCACCCCTTCCACCCCATCACAGCGCCCACGCCCTGCAGACCATGTTCCAGTTAATGACTCCCAAGCAAATGTACGAGCACTTCAAGGGCTACGACTATGTCTCGCACATCAATTGGAATGAGAACAAAGCAGCAGCCATCCTAGAAGCTTGGCAGAGGACATACGTAGAGGTGAGCCCACCTTGGATACTTGTTAGTTACTACAGTCTTTTTCATCATTTTTGAAAGTATCCTACCTTTAGTTTTTAAAATTTATTGTTGCCTTTTGTTTGCTTGTTTTTGGAGGCCAGCTAGATAGCCTAAGCTAGCCTCCAACTTGAGATCCAGCTGCCTCAGTCTGCCCAATCCTGGCATTACAGATGTTCACCACCAGGCTAGATTTATGTTCAACACAGATTATGATTTTAGGAACTTGATGGGATGCAAACTTGTTTTTATTTTCCTGGGTGTTGAAAGTCTTAACATAATGTCTAAGAAACACTCATTCTAATTGGGATGCGCCAAAAATACATTTAATCACCAGTTGTGAACTCCAGAGCTCATGAATTAACAGTGCTTAAACACTTGGTGAGCAAGGAAAGGTGTCTGGAAAGCATTAGCAAGGCATAGACTCTGTTCACAGCTGCAGGCGCCTTGGTCAGGTCATGTGACAAGGGCTGGCCTTTGTTTCCCAAGCAGTGACCTCTACTGAGCTGCATGTGACCTTTTAAAAGTGGCCAGCAAATGGGGGTGGGGGACAGCGCCTCTAAGAATGAGTTGTTTTGGATTAGGGGAAACTGATGGGACCACAAATTAGTTGTAGGGGTATGGAGGAGAGAATAAGAGTCTTAGGTTTGAAGTGAATAAAGCGCTCTAAGTGAATTCTGATTATACTGCTCACTACACACCCATTCTCTCCTGATTAGCAACAGTCCTCATTGTCCCAGACTCAGGGTCCATTAATATGAGTCCGAGTTCAACCACCTCTCTCACTGCTCTGTCCACCTGAGCCACATAGAAATTTTTGTTAATGCCTCAGAAAAAAAGAGAGAGGTGGGTCACCCAAGGCCTGTTCTGTTGAATCTGGTTGAAACTTGTAGTTACACTTGGAAACGTAGCCTTACATTGTGACCGCAGGTTGTTCATCAAAGTGTTGCCCAGAACTCCACTCAAAAGGTGCTTTCCTTCACCACTACAACCTTGGACGACATTCTAAAATCCTTCTCTGATGTCAGCGTCATCCGAGTGGCCAGTGGCTACTTACTGATGGTAACAATCAATTCTAGTCTGGAAGATGGGGGGAGGGAGGGCGGAGGGCTTGTTTTGGTTTGATCTGGTCTGGTTGATTTAGTTTTTACCTTTTCATGACCACTCCTGCTCTTCACATACTCTTGCATTCAAGATAGAGAACTCAGTTTCATAATGGATTAAATAAGTAATCATATGTAAAGCATTTTTTCCTCCATCATTTTGTGTGAAGTCTGTAAAGTTTTGTGATTGCTGGATTTACTAAGTTCTACCTTTGGATTTGGGATGATGGGTATGTGGGGGGAAACATTAGAATCGCTATACATTCTAATGTTTGGCTATTGTTTTGTGTCTTTCCCCCACCTTTTTCTTCTCCTCCAATTCCCCTCCATTCCTTCATCCCACCCCCTCCCCCATTGTTCTGCTTGCAGCTTGCCTATGCCTGTTTAACCATGCTGCGCTGGGACTGCTCCAAGTCCCAGGGTGCCGTGGGGCTGGCTGGCGTCCTGTTGGTTGCACTGTCAGTGGCTGCAGGATTGGGCCTGTGCTCATTGATCGGGATTTCCTTTAACGCTGCAACAACTCAGGTACTATAGGAGCCCTTCATCCTCAGTCTCTTGGCCAGTACTTTCCCTACCCCAGCTGGGCTCAGCCCACTCACTCCTCCCCTGTGTCCTTCCCACTGGAATACCACTTGTTTGGGGGCAGGCTGGATCTCAGTGGACCATGAGGGAAGCAGTAAGAAATCTACAAGGGGGCTGGGAAGGTGGCTCAGTGGTAGAGCACTTGCCTTGCATGCATGAAGCCCTGGGTTCGATTCCTCAGCACCACATAAGCAAAAAGAAAAAAGCCAGAAGTGGCACCGTGGCTCAAGTAGTAGAGTGCTAGCCTTGAGCTGAAGAGCTAAGGGACAGCGCCCAGGCCCAGAGTTCAGACCCCACGACTGGACACCCCCCCCAGAAAAAAAAGAGAAATCTACAAGGTTCGTTGATTGTAGAGATGCTTCCACTTGAGAAATAGGACCCTTTTTCTCAAGCTCTGAGGAGCATTTAAAGAGCTTGTAAAAACTCAGATTGGTGGATCTCATGTCCAAAGTGTCTTAATTCTATAGGTGTGGAGTGGAAGCTGAGAGTTTGCATCTAATCAATCCCAGTGATGTTTGCCAGAGGTCACTCTTAGGAACCATGGCTTTAGAATCTGAAATTTAGATGAATCAGGTTGCTTCTCATTTTGTTAATTTAAATGAAGTACCTGGGCTTTAGAAGTCAAAGCATATTAGAGCTACCATGAGTTGAAACTGAGAGACTTGGCATGGGAGGGGGTATAAATTTTCTGATAAAATAAATCCTCCCTTGTGAGTTAAAATAACTCCCCTTGAGGATGCTCTTAGGGAGCACTGAGGACATTGTTCAAATAGCTTTCGGGTGATCTGCGTTGGATCCTCCTGGTCTAATGGTACTATGTTCTGTTCTCACTGCAGGTTTTGCCATTTCTTGCTCTTGGTGTTGGTGTGGATGATGTTTTTCTCTTGGCACATGCATTTAGTGAAACAGGACAAAATAAAAGGATCCCATTTGAGGTAATAGCAAACTAAAAGAAAAAACTCTGGGGATACCTGAAGTTTCCTAGTTTCCTATGTTTTCATAGTATTTGTCCTTCAAAAAAGAAATCTTTTTCCCCATGTAGCTCAGGAAATAGTTCAGCCCCTAGTCAGACAACAAATAAAACAAGCAGGAAGAATCACAGGACCTGGGTTAGCAGTGGGACCCCCCAGTGCTCCCTTTGAGTGTTTTAATGTAATGCTATGCACTAATTGCTACCCCTTTCCCATAGCCCACATTTGCTACCTTGAGGTTATCTCTGTTTGTCTCCACTTAAATTGTTATCTCACAACTTTCAGCTTTAGCTACCAAGCTAAAGAAAACTTGACAACAGAGGTTGCACTGAAAAATGCTGGTGACAGGGTTAAGGCAGCTATGTACCTAATGCTTGTCTTCTAATGTCAGCATTAGAACCTATACTTGTATTATTTTGCCATGCTGGCCATGTTGTCCATGCTGTGTGTGTGCTGTAAGGGGCAGCTCAGGCCCAGTGCAGCTCTCAGCGCTGTGATTTCTCCTCCTCAGGACAGGACCGGGGAGTGCCTCAAGCGCACAGGAGCCAGTGTGGCCCTCACTTCCATCAGCAATGTCACTGCCTTCTTTATGGCTGCGTTAATCCCAATCCCTGCTCTGCGAGCATTCTCCCTCCAGGTGAGTTTCTAGTAGCAAAGTGATGATACTGAGCAGTACATTGGCAGTCAGCATCCCCAGTCTGCTTATTCATCCCCAGTCTGCTTATTCTTGACTCAGGTGTTTTATGTTACTACTGCTTTGGAATAAAGCACATGCCAGTACTTGGTGGTGTTCAGTGGGTTAGGTGCTTTGAGCTATAACACTTAGATTCTTTCTTAAAAAGATCTAAGCTTTCCTTCCTTTCAGACTCTATAATCCCAATATCTGTTACTGTACAGACTTGTGCTGTGTTGGTCAAGTCAAATGGGACCAGGGGCCACACTGTGTCATCCTCCAGAATCATCCATATTGCAGCCTTTTGACTGTCCCCTCTCTGCTTCTGGACAACCCTCTGCTGTTCTCCTGCTAGATATTCTTCTGTCTTCCCTGAAGCAGTTGTAGCCCCAACCCAGTGCCGTTGTGCAGACATTTCCTGATGTATTAAGATGAGGTTGTATGTAGCTCACGACTAGACAATAATCAAAGACTGAATACCAGATAGCATTCTACAAAGAGGTATTGCCTGTTTTCTGCCTTGGAGAATTTCTTGCATGGTTTGTTGCCCACCTCCCTTTCCTCAGTTGCCCTCTGTGTTCCTTCCTGACCCCTCTTCGCTTCCCTTTGGGTTCCCTACACCCTTTTCAGGCTGATCAAGCAAATTGAACATGCCTCTCATTGTTTTGTGCAGAAGATGTTGACTGCTTTTTTTGCTCACTCTTGTCCAGTTAAGCCTTTCACACCCAGAGGCATCAAGAGTATTTTCCCAAGGATACAGCTTATATAAGCATGGAGAGCTAGTTCCCTCCTCTGGGATATGACCACTGTCAATTAATGCTTTGAGTAAGTTCCTGGAATTGCCTAAAAGCTACTTGAAACTCAGGACAGGAATCCTGAAAACAATCAGCAGATGAAGTAGATTTTCTTTTTTTTTTAAATTTATGCTGGTCCCGAGACTCGAACCCAGGACCTAGGCACTGAGCTTTATTTTGCTCAATGCTGGTCTTCTACCACTTGAGCCACAGCTCTACTTCTGGCTTTTTGGTGGTTAATTAGAGATACAAGTCTCACAAAATTTTCTGCCTGGGCTGGCTTTGAACCTCAACCCTCAGATCTCAGCCTCCTGAGTAGCTAGGATTATAGGCACAAGCCACCCAGCCCCTGGCAGATGAAGTAGATTCCTAAGCAGTTGAAACATGGCCTTCATAAACCCAAAGTTGCCTAGCATTTAAATGTCAGAAGTTATTATTGAAGTTTTGTGAATTAATTTCAACTGTTCTCTAAAGAAGATTAAAGGGATATTGGCTTTCTTTCATCTGTCTCATGCATACTAATGTGTGGCTAGTGAGATAGCCAGTTGTGGAAGTAAACACCCTTGGTGTTACTTCTTAAATTGTTGTTATTGGGCCTGGGAAGGTGGCTCAGTGGTAGAGCGCTTGCCTTGCATACATGAGGCCCTGGGTTTGATTCCTCAGCACCATATAAGCAAAAAGAAAAAAAAAAGCCGGAAGTGGCACTGTGGCTCAAGTGGTAGAGTGCTAGCCTTGAGCTGAAGAGCTGAGGGACAGCGCCCAGGCCCAGAGTTCATGTCCCACAACCGGAAAAATTAAATTGTTGTTACTACATCCAGTTCACTCTGCTAGATTCACTTTTACCAAGAAGTCCTCAGGATTGTGACCACAAAGAAAAAGTAGTAGAGGATGAAATGGGTTTTTGTTTTGTTGTTAGAATTTTGTCAAAATGATTAGTCAACATAATCATTAGGCCTGGAAGAAAAGGACTTATTTTTGTCATAAAAATTAAAAAAAGAAATAGCAAGTAGACCTGGATGGAATTAATCTGAATCTGAGACTGAAACACAAGGAAAGTAAAAATCTCCAACTCTAGTAATAGGAGAGCTAAGTGAAATGCCCATGACATTCATGGCACATGGGGCTTTAGACCGCCAGTTACATATGCCAGCACCTGCGCCAGACACTTGTCCATCCCAGCCTTGTTTTGGAGCACCAGGTTCTGGTACTGAGTAGTTTCTTTGGAGTATTTTGTCTTGTTTGTTATTTTGTTTTTTCACAGTAGGACCCTTTCTCCTCACTCTTTATCCTTTCCACTACCTTCCCTCGCTGTCTTATATCTGCTCTGTTCTGTATCTGCTCACACTCCTTTTTTTCTTTTCCTCTCATTCTCTCCTTCCTTTCTCAGTACATACTGATGGTTCATCAAGGCAAACTCTCCTTTAATGGTATCCCATGGTGTGGTGGTCTGAAAGCTACATGAGTTTTCCTTGTGAGGAGTAGCCTTTAGAAAATCCAGTACGCTAAATTCTCCTAAGGTAAGCACCTTACAGAGATGAAATGAGTACTGTTGGTTTTGCGTTTCTGCCACATTGCTGTTTCAGTTTCAGAAAATTGCTTCTCCTGCTTCCAAAGGTTCTCATTTATTTAAAAAAACAAAAACAAAACAGATAGCTTTCCAGATACTGTGGCTCATTCTTTGTCAGGAAAAGAGGGGGATGGGGAGAGAAACAGTGTCAGTATGCATTTTTCCCCTTTAGGCTATCAAAAATGCCACCCTGCTTTCTTTTTATATTTATTGGTATTCAAGACTGACCATTTTGTAGCTTCTCTGTCCTTTACTATGTTAAGTTGTGACCCTGGGTATTCATTCATGTTTATATTTTCAGGATGCTACAAAATTAAGCAGAGTGCTTCTGCTGAGTGATAAATCCATATGACCTGTAGATTTCCTTTTGCAACTTTCCATTTTCTAGCCTGATCATAATACTAAGTTCTTTCCTCCTCCCTGAAGAAACTGTCTTCACACTTTATCAGCCATCATTCATCAGTCCAAATACCACTTCTTCTGGACCAATATTCCGCACTAGAGCTCTGCTGGTTAGCCCAGTGATATTGGTTTGCTTGCACAGGACCTCATACGTGTTGGTCAAATGCTCTACTCCAGCCTGGTAAAAGATTTTTGACTGGATCCCTCTTCAAGTGTCCCAGCTGGGCTGCCTTAGAAACTCTGGGAGTGGGAAGATTTCTCTTTAAGTATCAGTAACTAGAATTGACGTATAGTTTTAGATCTTTTCTGATTTGCTTAAACATTTTTAAACTTCCTTTGGCTTCTGCAAAGACCTTCTGTCTTACTGAGAATCTTTATTTTATTACTGTGGTGGACCTTGGAGATGTCAAAGTTCTAATGTTTTCAGGAAATGTTGTTCCATATATATGTAATATATTACTAGAAAGTAAGTTAGATGGGACGTTGCTTTGGGTGTCTGCGCTCATTTCTGCATTTCCTTTTCAATAGACACAGCAAGATGCCTGTCAGAGCTCTCTGATTGATGAGGCTTTGGTATCAAAAATTTCCCAGCCCCTATGAAAAGCCTCTGTGTTGCCCTGACCAGCACCCAGGCCATGTGTGCAAGCTTGTATATGTTTATGTGGCTTTTCAGTTTAGTCTCTGCTGTCCTCCTCTTACACTTCTGCCCAAAGTGAGAAACCTAGAGTTTATTCTCTACATCCATTCCTGAATTGTGAATATGACTGTAATTTTAAAAAGCTGAACAGGATTCAGCCCCCAGGATGACAGTTTTTTTCTGGAGAATCTCCTTTAGCATCACACCTGTTCTTCCTGGCATTCCCTGTGGCCAGGAGTCCTAACCTAAGCTAAGCACACTCTCTCAGGAAGTGACCAGATGTACTCCCAGTTCTCGCCTTCCCTTTTATATCTCATTCACTGGATATCTTCTGACAGGCAACATTCATTCTGTTCTAAGCCTTAAGGTCTTTATTAGGGAATAGTGTCTGAATGGTAATTAAGAATGTCTGGCCCAAGCATTGGTGGCTCATGCCTATAATCCTAGTTACTCAGGAGGCTGAGATCTGGTAGTTCAAAGCCAGCCCCGGTAGGAAAGTTTGTGTGACTTTCCAATTAATCACCTGAAAACTGGAAGTGGAGCTGTGGCTCAAAGTGGTAGAGTGCTAGCCTTGAACAAAGCAAAACAAAAGACAAAACTCAGGGACAGTTGAAGCCCCACAGCCAATAAAAAACAAAAAGAAAAAGAAAAAATAATGTCTGCCTCCCATTTGCTATGGGAACTGAATGAATCATGTATTAACTACCTAGTCTCCCATGGGCATGGTTTTTCCTGGTGATACTGAGTGACTTGAGCCAGGTATGTGCCCTTCTTGGCCTATCCTGTTTCCTCTAGTGAAACGTCTGTCCCTTCCCTGTACCTGCCTGACCCCACCTGCATCTAAACCCTGCTCACAGCTTCTTGACTGATCACTCTGTCCACCCAGGCCTTCTTTCTCTCTTCTTACTCTCATTTCCCTCCCTCCCTTCCACTCTCTGGCTGTTCTGCTTTTATCATTACACTTACCAGCAGCAGTTATATCTTGTTTGTAGCTCTAGCTATGTCAGTCCTTGAGCAGGAATTTGTTTTACTTTGCATATCTAGTGCCCAGCACCCTACTAAACTTGGAAGAGGATCTGTTTCATGGATAACCTGTTCAGTCACAATAGTGATGCACTTATTCATATAGGTCTTAAAAGTGCCTAGGCATACATCTGGGTGGTGATTAACATGCTCAATATTGTTTAATTGATGAGTAGTTTTCCAAACTAACTTAAAAGGGATTAGGACATTTTTAGATGGTTTTGTCGACTTGACAGGGAGTTTATTTATTGAAAGGCATCTCTGCAGAATTTGGGCTTTCTATTTCACCTGGAGCATAAATTCATAATTCCTTTCAAAAGCCTTTTTTGTGTAGTTCTCTTTGGCTTTGTTAAGTACCAGTTATAACCTGGTTCTCTCTTTCGTTGTCCTGAGCCAACTTCCCAGTTTGAGAAGGTCTCAGAAGAGCGCCTTTGAAAAACCTCCTACGAGTTTTTAATTTTCAAACGAATTTCTGATTATTTGTTGGCTACTTAGCATTCCAGTTCAGTTTTCCCTGTATGTGTCTGCCCCTGCTTTTCTGAACAGGACAGCCCTTTCAGCTGTCTTCTGTTGACTCCCCTCTGAACAGGCCAATTTTGTAATTTTTACTAGGTCAGCAGGAGATTTGCTGAAGCACTGCAGAATCTAGCCCCGTGTTTATTCTAGGTTATGGAGTGACTTTTGAATCTGTACTTATTTATTCTACGTACTATAATCACACACAGGAATTTCTTTCTGCTTAACTCTCCTTGACCTTTGCAGTTACTTGCTCACACACCCCACATGCTACCCTTGAGGCTTATTCGGAATGTGCCGATTACAACCTCCGGGGACGCATATGAAATTTTATTTTGTGTTTTAAAAGTGACGTTTTGATATACTTGATTCATTTTATGTACAAAATTTCAAGTGTAAAATTGGGGCTTCATAAACTCTCAGAAATACTCTGAAAGGAGGGAGATGTTTCTGTTTTGAAATAAAACATCACAAGCACGTTTTCTGTTCTGCCTTTGTAGATTGCGTTTGGTTAAGCTACTAACAGATGTTAAAAGTTCAGTTTGTGTGAGCGTGTGTGTGTGTGTGTGTTAGAGAGAGCCTGTGTGTGTGTTAGAGAGAGCCTGTGTGTGTGTGTGTGTTAGAGAGAGCCTGTGTGTGTGTGAATGTTAGACAGAGAGAGCCAGACAGAGAGGCTGATTTTTGCTATATCAAGTGATTAAAAATAGAAAGGATCTGAATGATGGGATCCTATTTTAATGAAAGGGTTTCTTAATGATGTGCAATAGAAATGCTACCTTCTATCCCCTGCTTTAATAATTGGTGCAGAAGGATTGTGAAAGAAAAACATTGTTTAATAGCATCTTTAAGCTGGATGCCAATGGCTCACACCTGGAATCCTAGTTACTCAGGAGGCTGAGATCTGAGGATCATGGTTCAAAACCATACCGGGCAGAAAAGTCTCCATGAGCCTCTTCTCTCCAGTTAACCATTCAAAAACTAGAAGTGGCGCTATATTTCAAGTGGTGGAGTACTAGCCTTGAGCACAAAGAGGCTCTCAAGAACAGTGTCCAGGTCCTGAATTCAAGCCCCCAATCGACCCCCCCCCAAAAAAAAGCATCTTTATTTTCAAAGCAATGTTGTGATTGGTGGCCTAAGCTTTTTTTTTTTTTTTTCTGCTCCCAGGCTGCGGTGGTGGTGGTGTTTAATTTTGCCATGGTGCTGCTCATTTTCCCTGCAATTCTAAGTATGGATTTATATCGACGTGAGGACAGGAGATTGGATATTTTCTGCTGCTTTACAAGGTACATTTTTCAGGCTGCTGTGTGTGGCCTTTCTTGGTTGGGTACTGAGGAATGCTGTTGGAAGAATCCTTGGATTTAGTAGAGAATGTAGTAAGAGAATGTAGCAATGTGGCATTATGGATGGAAGTAGGGGAGATACTGGACAGAGGATGCTCCTAGGGGACTTCTGGGCCCCATATGTCTTCCCTTTTCCAAACGTATCTTCTCACCATCTTTGAGATTGTGATGTGGGTAGACTTTCCCCACCCCCCCCCCTCTTTCATAAGCCAGTACTGCTGATTGGTGGGAGAGTTTGGTAGCTCTCTTGATTAGCAAAGAGCAAGCATGAAAAAAATCACTTACCTAGAAAAACCATAGGTTAGTGGTGGTTTGCTTTTTGTTTTTGCTTTGTTTGCTTTTTATGTCTTCTTTTTTGGGGGGGTTGGGATTAGGTTTTGAAAGGGTTCATCATCATCAAGCAAGCCAAACTGAGGATTAACCATTCATTTGGCCTCCCTGAAATCAGGTTATGTCTCTGACTCCATCAACTAGGTGATGTCTGCAGAGTTAAACTGTCTATGTAACTGGGAAGTATCTGTCGTTGACAAAGATGAAGGCATAGTCTCCTTGTTGCAGCCATACATTGCAATGTACTCCCCATCTTTCAGCCCCTGTGTCAGCAGAGTGATTCAGATTGAACCTCAGGCCTACACGGAGCCTCACAGTAACACCCGCTACAGTCCCCCACCGCCCTACAGCAGCCACAGCTTCGCCCATGAAACACACATCACCATGCAGTCCACTGTCCAGCTTCGCACAGAGTACGACCCTCACACGCATGTGTACTATACCACTGCCGAGCCGCGCTCTGAGATATCTGTACAGCCCGTCACTGTCACCCAGGACACCCTCAGCTGCCAGAGCCCTGAGAGTACCAGCTCCACCAGGGACCTGCTCTCCCAGTTCTCCGACTCCAGCCTCCACTGCCTTGATCCCCCCTGCACCAAGTGGACTCTCTCATCCTTTGCAGAGAAGCACTATGCTCCATTCCTCTTGAAACCAAAAGCCAAGGTAACCTGCCACCACATCAAATTCTTCATCCTATCTTTGAAAAGTACCAGACCAGCTCCTTTGAAACTTATCAGATTGCTTCAATCTACTTTTCTTCATTCACAATGTTTAAACAAACCAACAAAAGGGCTCATGCTTGAAAGCTTAGGAGTCTGAGATCTGAGGACTGCAGTTTGAAATCAGCCCAGGCAGGAAATCTGTGAGACTCTTATCTCCAGTTAACCTAAAAGCCAGAAGTAGAACTGTGGCTCAAATGGTAGAGTACCAGCCTTGAGCAAAAACAAAGCTAAGGGACAGTTGAATTGAAGGCCTAGATCTGGTACCAATTATCTCCAATAAACCACCAGAAAACCAGAAGTGGCGCTATAGCTCAAGTGGTAGAGTGCTCACCTTGAGCTGAAGAGCTGAGGGACAGCGCTCAGGCCCAGAGTTCAAAACCCATGACCGACAAAAAAAAAACACCAAAAAACAAAAAAAACCTACAAGTGTGCTACCCTTCAGTCCTCAAAGCCACTCCATGCAAGGCTTGCATATAATGAGTGCATTTCTGCACGACTGAAATTCTACGCAGCCAGTTTTTCTAGGAATTTAGGTCATCTCTTTCCATTATGAACATTTTTATTTGTGAGGGTATTTGAAAATGTAATTGTTGTGATCCTACCTGCCCCCGCCCTTCGTTTGGGGGAATGAATGCTGCCTGCTAAATCTGCCAGTGCAGTTCATAGTAAAATAAAATAAACAGCTAATGTTTGTCAAGGAAGAATTTAGGATCTTCCTTGGGGTCTGATCTTGTGCTTCTGGTTCTGTTACAGGTGGTGGTGATCCTGCTCTTCCTGGGCTTGCTAGGTGTCAGCCTTTATGGGACCACTCGAGTGAGAGACGGGCTGGACCTGACAGACATTGTCCCTCGGGAAACCAGAGAATATGACTTTATTGCTGCACAGTTCAAATACTTTTCTTTCTACAACATGTATATAGTCACCCAGAAAGCAGACTATCCTAATATCCAGCACTTACTTTACGACCTTCACAAGAGTTTCAGTAATGTGAAGTATGTCATGTTGGAAGAAAACAAACAACTTCCTAAAATGTGGCTGCACTATTTCAGAGACTGGCTCCAAGGTAAGGTGCTGCCATTTGGCTATCTTCTTTAGTCACCATCTTTGTCATCATTGGATCTTTTGCACCGTTTACTTCCTGCAGGTCCCTTATTAGTGTGTAAGATCTGAACACAACCCTGACATATTTCACTGATGTGTAAGTGTTGCTTAAGATTCTTACAGAGGCTGTTTCTGCAGCAGCCCTCCCATATCTGGCTTTCACCTGTATAACTACAAGTGACTCAGGAAATTTTGTAAGAATTTATGAACATAGGAAGGCGGGAAGTATCTTATAAAATATGGAGTCTGTTGCTCTTTCTTTTGGTTTAGTGGCTAGTGTAATGCCAAGTAAAATTAACTTGTTGAAGGCATTTCTGGGCTGACTCTGTCAAATGATAACCTACTGTAAGGAGATTTAGAGTCAGTAATGGATATAATTCGATATTTTGACCATCTTAAAATTTTAATAAGCCTGGCACCAGTAGTTCATAAGTGTAATGCTAGTTACACAGGAGGCTGCGATCTGAGGATCTCAGGTCCAAAAACCAACCTGGGAAGATAAACCCAAGAGATCCTTATCTCCAATCAACCAGCTAAAACCCCAGAAGTGAAAGTGTAACACAAGTGACAGAGTGCCAGCCTTCAGCACAAAAGCTAAAGGGAGAGCTTGGAGTCTACAGTCCTAAGTTCAGGCCCCAGTAATGGCACCAAAAATAAATGCATATATTATAAATATATATAACTGACTTTAGTTTTAGAGCAATGTTGAATTCATAGCAAAATTGAGAGGAAGGTACAGACATTTCTCAAACCTCTCCCTTACAGCTTCCTACCTGCTCCCTCATGTACTCATCCCATTGTGAAGCACCTGTTTTAGTCAATGAACCTACACTGACATCATTATCATCCAGAGCTCATGCTTTATCTTCTGGTTTATTTTGACCATCTTTTGATTTGGTGAATGCAGTACATTTATTTTTCCTTAGTTACATTTTCGTATTTCATAAGTGATCAAATGCTGCTTTAAAATGCATTTCTTGGTTCCTTGGTTTTCAGGAACGTTTCTAGGAAATATTAGTCAACTCAGTGGGGGAAAACAATCTAAATTTGCTCCTAACTGCTGACAGAATATAAATGTATTCAGTGATTCTAAGAACATCTGTTCAGTTATTCTGTGTTGACACATGCAAAATCAAGTATAGAATCAGGATAATTATCCACACAATTCAAGCAAAAATGCTTTTACTTGAATACCCAAATAATTATGGCCTCAACATTTTTTGGCTTAGATTATCTAAATGATTGTCTTAATTTCCCACTTAATTAGGCTTGTCTAAACACAGATTTAAGTGCCTTTTTTGGTCTTAAGTCAATATACTTTTATGAAAAGATTAGGCAGCTGATTTTCCTCTGAATTTTCATGAGATGGTAAACAACTTGAATATGATTGAAATTGGTTCAGTATAGTTTCTAAATTGTTTCCTTGCAGTTAGGGGAATTTTGTTCACACATGAATTTTGTTTTGGAGGAAGTTGAAGAGAGCATGACATGATTATTATTATTACTTTTTAACCTTCTCATAAGGTTAACTTGAATTTTTTTCTAAGTCTTAATTTTTTACACTTCGTTGTGACAGCCCTGGTTTTTATGAGGGTAAGAGAACCAGACAGTTGGGAGATTCCCTGCTTTTCATTTTCTACACATTCACTAAAGACATGCAAATAACTTGCCACAAGTGACAAAGAGATCTGCTGTGTGCTGAGGAGGAGATCAGTGATTGAGCAGAGGAGGGTTATTGTAGAATCTGCTTCAGTGTCTTCAGCCATTGCTTTAGACATCCAATATGGATGGTGTATTAGGCCAAGGCTGGGAAGGGGGCATGGGGCATTGTCTCTAGGTAATGCAGAGGGCTAATCTTCTTAGATGGCATTGTAGATGCTCTCTATACTTGCTTCCCTTGAAAGACCTAAAGATAATCAGATGTGCAAATATTTATTTTTAAGGTGCATTTAAATTTTGTTTTGACTGCTAGGTAAACAGCACCCAACTAGACCAATTTAGATCCATGCATGCCAACAAGTCAGAGTCTCAGCCAGCCTTGGAACTGTGTTTGCCCCTTAAGAGGTTAAGCAGAGCACTACATACAGATATGAGGGCTACTGGCTTCTTAGACATCTACGGGCCTTCAATTGTTTGTCTGAGTATTTCCTTCAAGGAAGCAATTATCCTTAAGTCAATTTACTTCCAAATATTGAGATGAGCTTCATTGTTTTTGTTGGTGGTGGTGATGGTGATGTTTTGTTTGTTTGTTTGTTTTATGGTGGGGGGAAGGGAGGATGTTAATCCTGGGGCTTGAACTCAGGGCCTGGGTTCTATCCCCAAACTTTCTTTGCTCAAAGCTAGTGCTCTATTACTCAAGCACAGCTGTACTTCCAGCTCTTTGGTCATTAATTGGAGAGTCTTACAGACAATCCTGCCCAGCTGGCTTCAAACCATAATCTTCAGATCTCAGCTTCCTGAGTAGATACGGTTATAGGTGTGAGCCACCATCTCCACCTAGCTTATTTTGTTTTGTTTTGTTGCTTTTTTTTTTTTTTTTTGTCAGTCATGTGGCTTGAACTCTGGGCTTGGGCACTGTCCCTCAGCTCTTCAGCTCAAGGAGAGCACTCTACCACTTGAGCTACAGGACCACTTCCAGTTTTCTGGTGATTTATTGGATATGAGTCTCACGGACTTTCCTGCCCGGGTTGTTTTTGAACCTTGATCCTCAGATCTCAGCCTCCTGAGTAGCTAGGATTACACATGTGAGCCACCAGTGCCCGGATTTTGTTGCTTTTTTAAAAAATGGAGTTTCCATTTAAACTATGTCATTCCATGGGTCTTTATCAACATAATAATTCTTTTATTTCTAAAAACATATAATGGTTAATATAGAAACAGTCTCATGTCATTTTTAAACATACATGAGAAGAAGATAAAGCCATACTGTGCATCTTGCATAAATCATTAAAATTTTTTTTTTTTTTTCTTGGTCAGTCATGGGGCTTGAACTCTAGGTCTGGGTGCTATCCCTCAGCTCTTCAGCTCAAGGCAAGCGCTCTACCACTTGAGCTACAGCACCACTTCCGGTTTTCTGGTGGTTTATTGGAGATAGGAGTCTCAGGGTCTCTCCTGCCCCGGCTGGCTTTGAACTGCGATCCTCAGATCTCAGCTTCCTGAGTAGCTAGGATTACAGGCGTGAGCCACCAGCGCCGGGCAATCATTAAAACTTTTATAGAATTGCGCAAACAATATATTAACGTTGCCTTTGGGGAGGGAGGCTTAAACTCAGGGGCTGGGCACTTTTTGCTCAAGGCTATCGCTTTACCTCTTCGAGCCACAGCTCCACTTCTGGTTTTTGAGTAGCTAATTAGAGAGTCTCACGCACTTTGTTGCCTGGGCGGGCTTCGAAACATGATCCCCAGATCCTAGCCTCCTGATTAGCTAGGATTACAGGTCTGAGTCGGCCAGTGTCTGGCTTAATGTTATCTTTTTAAAGTGCCATTATATTTGCATAGTTCTTTTGGCCTAAAACTACAGCAAGAAAATTATTTTCAATATTAAATGCTCATAATGAGGAACGTTCTAGTTAAAATTTTAGGTTTTGCTATATAATGGGTAAGAACTACTAGTTCTTTTGGACATAGTACATTTGTTGGAATATAAAATGTTGACCAGAGGCAATAGAAGCAAATTTTGTCTTTGTTTTGTGTCCTGTGTTATATATTGTGCCTGTACTCAGTCAAGCGCATGAGTCCTTGAGCTTCTGGGTAATAAACCAGAAAATATTAAACCAGTTATGAAAAGACAAGCATTCCACAAAATCCATTACTGTGTCTTGCATCTTTGACCCACTGGCAGAGTAAATCGTACCTCTAGGACCAATATGACCGAGATGCCTTAAGCTGAATGATCAGCAGGACTGACCTCCTCAATTCTGATCTTTATTCCTTAGGTATACCTTAAGGTATAGCAAAGCTTTTGTGTGGAAATATATCTTTAAACAAATACACTCTTGACTTTTGAGAACCTTGTTTGCCACCAAATGATGTTGGCAGCAGAGTTCCCTTTGCCAGTGTCATTCCTGCATCCAGTGATTCACTATAGTGCATTCTGGAGACAATTCTGGCAATAAGTAGTTCACGCAGACTCTGATCAGCTCCAACACTTACCGACTAGGTGGTCTTCATGAAGTACTTCACTTTCTAAGCCTCAGTTTCCTCATCTATAAAGTGGGACTAATAATACCAATGGGCCTGCCTCACAAGGCGGCCATTGGTATTAGGGTAATAGGCATGGAAGGTCCAGAATAACCCAGGGCCTGCTAAGCATGAGCTGCTCTCAGAGTAGCAAGCAGATCAGGAGGGAAAAAAATTGTTCAAGTACAGTGAAAGTCCCCAAGTGATGAAAATACTTACTATGACTTAGGAAACAGACCAGGACTCACTGGGGGTGAGGGAGGAGGGAGATCTGGGGTAAGGAATTGGGGATCAGTTGTTATTTCTTCTCTGCTTAAAAAAATTCCAAAAACAGGATGGGGGGGGGTGGGAAATTGAGGTCATAAAACAACATCTGTTCGGTACTGTTTGTGTGCATGCCTTGCTATGAAAAACTGTCTGTCTGAGGGGTGGGAGGCCAGCAGCTTCTCTGGTGGTCTCTCCTGCCTTCTCCTCACCCACCCCATAACAGGGCCCTCCTTTCACCACTGAGCCCAGGGTCCTCACTCCCTAAATAGTACACATAAAAACAATGCCCACAGCAATGTCAGAGAGAGGGGTTGTTTTTTAAAGGGAGAAGAGGAAGAGGAAAAAGAGTCTGCTTCAGCCCCCAAATGTTTTAACTATTCATGGAACCACATCTTTTTTTTTTTCTTGGTCTTTGAAGTCACCCAAGACATGTCCTGAATGAAATAAAACCTTCTCCCTTCTTACCAGTCTAACCAACCCCACACGTGTCCAACTTGTTCCAAGGTGGGGGTTTCCTGTACTGCTGTGCCTGGAAGATCTACTTGGGAGGTGACTGGGGGGGCAGGGAAAGGGGGTGTCAGGGAGTATGTACACCAGCCAGCACTCAGAGCCTAAGGCCGGGTCACCAGGGCCCTGTTTTCTCTTCCAACACGCTTATCTCTTTACAGCTGTAGCCAAACCGTCAGGTTTGTAATGATGGTTTTGATTACAGAGGCCAAGCGCAGCTGTGTGTGGTGGACTGGTGGGCTCACCCATCCCCCAAGCCCAGAAAGCTCTTTCCTTCCCCTGCCCCAGGCTTGTGGTTTGTCATCTGTTCTCACAGAGCCTCCTTGTATTGGCTTGTGGCTTCCTGTTCTCAAAATCTGATCCAAATTTACCCTGTGAGGTATTTCCCCATGCATGGGTCCCTCCCTCTCTCCCTCCCTCCCTCCCTCTCTCTCTGTCCTCCACACCCCCACTTGGAAGGAAGGGTGGCAGAGAGGCAGGGAGCAGTTGAGAGTGAATAGGTGTTGGCTGTGATCTTTACACAACCTGGCAGCGGATCCCACAGCTTGTGTTAGCTCCACAAGTCGAACAGATGGATCAAATTGACAGAATCGTGTTCACTCACCCTGGGCTCCAGAAGCAGCTGACTTGCTGTTTGAAGTTGGGAGCTTGACTGTTTTTGTCCCTCTGAGTGGAATTTCTGGTTATATCGAAGAACTCGTGGCATGGCTCCCTGTGTTACATGAAATGGTTAATGAGCCTGGTGTGTCTTTCTCTCCTCTCTTGCTTTCCCTTGTTGGAATAGTCATTGGGGAGAAGAAACAGTTATATTATTTTTTAAAGGAAAATATGCATGTCTGTTTCCTTCCCGCTTCGGAGCAATGATTAATAAGCAACCTGTAGTTCATTCATGAAAATTCCAGAAGTATTGCTTAAAGGGAAAGTAGACTACACAGATCAGTCCCCTGCCCTGCCTGCTATTCCCAGCCCACATCATTAAGGCTGAGGGTATTCTAGTTAAGAGTTGTAATGTGTTACACACATTTGCTTTTTTTAGGACTTCAGGATGCATTTGACAGTGACTGGGAAACTGGGAAAATCATGCCAAACAATTACAAAAATGGATCAGATGATGGAGTCCTGGCCTACAAACTCCTGGTACAAACCGGCAGCCGAGATAAGCCCATCGATATCAGTCAGGTATTGTCACCATTCAAAACCTCCAGGGGAATCTCCCAGGATACTGGGGAGCAGAGCTCTGGGCACCTGCCTTGAATAAGATGGGTTGATAGCAGTGGTTCTAATCTTTGTCCTTCAGAGACCTAGGAGATGGCAGGCAGAATCTTTTGCTTGAATTCACTTCATATCACAGCTAACTGTGTGATCTCAGACAAGCCAAGACACCATACTTGGCTTCTCTGTCAAGTTGGGGACAGGTGTTACCTGGGTAGTTGACACTACCCAGTAAAGTACCGATGGAGACATTGCCGACTTTTGTACCTGATAGAAGGGCTAAGTCACCTTAAAGTTTCAGATTCCAATACTTGATACTATAGTAGTCTTGATACATTCTTCAGACTTTGGAAGATGGATTTGTTCAGCAGTAGTCATCTGAACAGAATCTAGGGTAGGGAGATTTCCTAGAAGATTGAAGAGGTTATTAGAATGATGTGGAGGATTTGTTACTTAATTTCTTTGGGTCACCCTGGCCCCTGGGATGGATTCTGAGTACAGTCAGATCACCAAGTCATGAGCCAAGTGAAGGGAGAAGTGCCAATTAGACTCACTGTTCTGCTTACGTCTCTTAGTGATGAGAGCCATTGCTACTAGATAGTCATATTCCCCCCACTACACACGCATCTTCTTCGGGACACTTGGATTCCAGTGAATCTGTTTTGATTCCTTAGTAGTGTTTAGGATGTGTTAGGAATCTGTGATTTCACATGGGCCCATGGCAACGCCTGGCTTCCACAGAGCCTCTTCTCTTTGCTCTCTGTAGCTTGCTTGCTTTTACCTTCGGGCAGAAAACGTCATGCTAATGATCTTCTTAGCAGCTCTGTTTATTGTCTCCCCCTTTTCTGCTGGCATTTAAAGTGACAGATTTACAAAGTACATTGTTCAGAGTTATTATGGAGTGTGAAACTAAGTGCTTTATAGCAGTGTGCAGTGCTGTCAGGTTTGACAAGGGTGTGGGTACAGGAGCCTGCTTGAGAGACCGTAGCAGGGGCATGCCCGGGGAGCTGGGTTAGATAGAGTTAGAGACCAAGGGCCCTGTGGGATGAATATGATTGGGCCAGAGCCCTGGATGTCATTTCCTCTGCCTGGGATGGAGAAAAGTATGCTGCATGCATGAAGGCAGTGAGCTGCACTGTGTAGTTCCAGAGACGGTTTGAAGACATACAGTTGTTATGCACCCTGTGGATTAATTGAATCCAGATCCCTGAAGTCTAATTCTCTCCCTCTCTTCCATGTTCTTTCTTCCTTCACACACACACACACACACACTCATTCTTTCTCTCTCCCTCTCTTGTGTCCCGTTCTCCATCCCCACCCCTTCCTGGTGAACTGGTGTTTTTCATTTTGTTTAAAAGAAAGAAAGAAGAAGAAGAAAAAATACCGTGTTGGAACAAGGCCCAAAATCTAAAATAAACAGGAAAAAAAATCTTTTTTTTTTTCCAGTGTATCTAAAATATACATACACACACTCAATCTCACATTGTCTCAAGCCTGAGTAAAGTCCACAAGACCTACTATAGAGGGAGCACATTTGGCCCTGCAGAGGATTCAGTTTACTAAGCCTGACCACCTCTCAGAAATCTGATTACCCAGAAGGGCCATGGCTTTGTGTTAAGTCTTTTCCACTTTCTGGCAATGGACATTTTTTTTGAATACACAGGTCATAGGAGGCTAGTGTTAGCAAAATTTATACAGATGTTGTTTTATTTTTATAGCTCTCCTCCATTTACTGGGTGGCATTTCCTTCAGTGTTAACAACAGAGGTTAACTGCACACAGACGTGTATGGGGATTCTTGCCAGGTTTTTCCCCCCTTCCCCTCCTATAAATATGTTTCTCCAGATTGTTCATTCTCCGCCTTGGCTGCAGACAGTCTTTTAGCATTCAGATTTAATTGGTTCAGCCAATTCTGGGGCCATCTGCAGAACCGTGTGTTCATTATAAACACACTTGATGAGTGTGTCCCCCAATGCGTGCATTTTGAAAGCAATCAGAGGTGTTCTGATGACACTCTCAAGCCATGGGCGTTCTGTTGTCTATTGTTGGAATTAAAGGTCCAAAGCTCAGGCCAAAGCAGTTTTGCTCTCCAGGCAGAAGTGCATTTATTTATCCCACACCCTGCTCTGAAAGACCTCTTTCCTCTGCTCTTTTGTAGTTGACTAAACAGCGTCTGGTGGATGCAGATGGTATCATTAATCCCAGTGCTTTCTACATCTACCTGACGGCTTGGGTCAGCAATGACCCTGTTGCTTACGCTGCCTCCCAGGCCAACATCCGGCCCCACCGACCTGAATGGGTCCACGACAAAGCTGACTATATGCCAGAAACAAGGTTAAGAAGTAAGTAGCACTCGTTCTGACGGGCCTAGGAGCTTCCCCAAAGGTGCCTCATCCCGTTCCTCAAAGCTCAGCAACAGCTTCACTCGTTGACACTACCCAGGGTTCAAAAGTGTAAATAGAACAATATATTTCTTTTAGTTTAAAACTCTGTGAGACAGATGAGAATGTGTAATGGAATACAGCCCCACACTCTATCTCGTTGAGAAATAAGAGTCTCTAATCTCCTTTTGTAGCTTTAGCTCTTAAGACGTTCATCAGGCATCTCTTCTGAATGCCAGCTGTTCCCTGTGAAAGTCGGGGAGGCGTCCAGGTTGAGTGTTATTTTACTATTGCAGAGTTTTATCGCTGGGGATTATATGTTTATCTTAACTTTGTCAACTCTGGTGTTGAAGGGATTTTTGGCACATTGGGTCATTCCTATAAGCCACCAAGCACCTGTACTCTGTCAAAGCTGTTTAAACTGGAACAGAAAAGTCTGTATACAACAGTGTCCTCTTCCTTTCACCTCTCAGCCTGGAGTTTGAAAGGTGGTTCTGTGTGGATTTAATTTGCATTTATGATAGAGATCTTAGTAGCAGCGTATGCTTTGGACATTGGGCCAAGAGAAGACGTGAGAAAAGACTGGTCCCTTTGCAAACATGGCTGGGCAGCTAGCGGGTTGTGCTTCCCGGTATCTAAACCCCAGAGCCTTGTGGCAAGCAGCCAAGGCTTGTCTTAATGAAAATTTATAGTTGAGATTATAATAGGGCAAATCATGTTTAGCAAGTCAACTGAATGACCCCAAAGGGTCTGGAACACACAACGGCAGTAACTAAATGCTTGTTGTAGAAGGATTTTGCCTCATTGCTGAAGACTTAGCATGGCATTAGAAAAGAAGTGAGGAAGGTTTAAGTTGGTTAGGTCACTAAAAGGATAAGAAAGTAAAGCATTTTTCTCAGCAAAGCACGACTCTAGAATTATTTAGTTCTTATAAATGAGTGAGGGCACCAGTTTGAACATAGAATTTTCATATTTGTCAGTGAGATGAGAAAATGTTGCTTGAGTCTTGAAGTGTTTAGATCTGTCAAAATCAGTGATCACTTGTGGATTATTAATAAAAAGTTTATTAAAAGAAATACCGAGGGGCTGGGAAGGTAGCTCAGTGGTAGAGTGCTTGCCTTGCATG